CCCCCCCCCTATGGGTCAGTCCTTATTAATGGGAGCGCAGTTATTATAGATTAATAAGCATGCACAGGAACGTAGCATGGAGTATTGCAGTGGGGGTGGGTCCAGGTATTTGTGTTGGGCTATAGAGCGTATGGAGAAATGGCCGGACATGGTATGATCCGCAGTGCTTCCAGTTGGTGTCCCCTGAGACTTCCCTGTTCCTGCCACCAGTATCTGACCCTAGCGGCACCCTCACATGGTGATCTGGCTTCCAGCCTTCATTCCTACCCCCAACCTCAGGCTTCTCTGCACCCCTAATCTCCCTGGTCTAACACCAAACCAAGCGCGCCCCATGAACCAAAGGATACAACGCGTCTCCGCTTGATCCATCTTCATGATGTCACATTGGCTGCACATCAGCTTCTCTGCCACCACAAACAGCAGGTTGGTGTTCGACAGTCGCTGGGCGTGAAAGTACCTATTCAAAGGAGAGAGAGAGAGGAGGATGGGGAGGCGGGGTTAGCCGGGATCTATGAACACTCCCCTGTAGATTGTACATGGTACGGTCCAATCAGACCCACCGGGAGCAGGGCCCGCAGTCAATGACGGCCGAGTACGTGGCGTTGATGTTGCTGAAGTAATACTGCGTCTGCTTCATGATGCAACTGGCCTCCCGCGGCTCCATCCCCTCCGCCATGATGTCATCTGCGAGCAAGATAAAGCCGTTCACTTTGAGGTCATCGCGGAAGACACAACGGAACTTCCACATACGGACTAGTCTTCCACAGGAAGTTCAGAACTGGAGTCTATATGTAGTACCGGCAAGTCCTCTACACACAGGACCATCGGCCTCGAAGGAGCTGACACTCTAAGGCCCCATTCACACTGCGCGATTCGCAAATCGCACGATTTGTCGCGTGATTTGCATTTTGCGCGATATCGTGTGATTTGTCACGCGATATCGCGCAAATGCTTGCATTGAAAAGCATTGAATCGCGGCAAAATCCGCTCCAAAAAGGGTCCTGCTGTAGCGACGCACGACCCGCGACAGCAGGACCCTTTGCCCCATTGCCAAGCATTGGAGAGCGATATTGCGCGGTAAATAGCCGCAATATCGCGGGAATTACCGCGCGATAAATCGCTCAGTGTGAACGGGGCCTCATGTGCAGTGGAATCAATCCAAAAGTCTTTGTGACTCCGTTAGTAAGGCAGAACCGATAGAACTTTCCCACAGGAGGACAACATACAAACTCCATGGCGGGAACCTACCCCGGTGTTGCAAGGACACGGAGCTAACTCTGGAGCCAGTGTCCGCACACTTGAATTGCAATAAGCTTTATTGACACCAGATGAGGTCAACAAGACCTATCATTCCCCGCGGGACGCATTACACCCACAATGTGATCACCACTGAGCCCATATTGTGGGAAAAATGCGGCAGTGGTCGAGTCACACCTGGCAAGGAACGATATGTGTCACTGACCTTGTCTGGTGTCAATAAAGCTTATTGCGATTCAAGCAAAAAAAATATAGCGGTGGGCGGCCTGGACGTTCATATACTCAGCTACAAAGAGACAGACAGACGCTCTGACCTCTGACAGACGGCACTCACCTGCCTGCATCCAAGTGCTGTACGTCAGGCTGTAGATGAGAGACTGAAACACGGACCTGGGGGGGGG